GCCATAGTGTTAGAATATCCATCACCACTAGTAGAAGCGGAACCAGAACTGTACGATACCGACTGAGCAGCATCAGGGTATAGGAACGACTCTGCACCATGCTTCTCAACGTACTGAGGACTGTATCCTGTCTGAGCACGAACATTATTCCAGAATAACTTGTAGTCCGCCATCGAAATAATAGTCTTACCATTTAACTCCAACGACATCGAGTCAATTACATTGAAATTACCACAATTAAGAGTGGCGCAGAAACGATTTGCGGCAGCCGTTTGTGCAGTGGCACCATTCTTCATCGAAACCTTGTACGGTAGCATAATGCAAACATCACGAAGGCACGCGAATCCTTCCGAACCATTAAGTTGAGCCGTGGCATCAATAGTGATAACTCCATTTTGATACGAACCCTGATTTAGATCGATAACGTTAGGGATACGCTTGGTGGAAGATACTTTGATCTCCGGGTCGCTCTTAACCCCTTGGACGCGGAGGGGTGACATGGACGGTATAAAAAAACGCTTAAACCGTCCCGGACGGCATAAGAAATCGTATGAGACTCAGTATGACATAGTGAACGCGAGAATAAATTTGGCTTTTCTTCACACAGTTTGTTGCTAAGCTCCCTGGTAATTATTCCACTTGAAGGGACTGGTGTGATCTGCGGATAAAAATCCTCCGATGAGCTGCTCACAGTGCATTCTATGCAATACTGATATTTAGAGAAACGTTGCGCCTGAACGGGTATACATTCCGCTCTATCTTACATGTAACATAATGGATGCTATGGTATCGTCGCCTTGATGGTTGCTACAAGTGATAAGCCCTCTAGGACCCCCACTACATTACAAACAGCGCGCTCCAACGCCACCAAACAATGCAAAAGAAGAAGAGCAAGTACAGAGTAAGTTGATGTTGTCTTCGCACACCGACATTGAAGCAGAGATAGCACCGCACTTCGATCAGTCGAACAGTATGCATTATGTGTGTGACCAAGATAGGAGCAACATGAGAACAAGCATATTGCATAACACTTGCTCGCGGTTTAGTACCAAGTCAATCAATAGATTTCAATAAGAACTAATCAATGAAGTATATATAAATGCAGTATCTAAACCAATTAAAATGGCTTTCTGTTTGCATACCCCCAGGATCTTGGCGGCGCATGAGTAGGCTGGTACGTGTTCATGTGGTTCATCTCAACGTGCTGTGGCGGAAGTAAAGTCTGGTTTAGCACATCTTGGTCTAGTTCCACGCGAGCGTGGGGGCTTGCCCCAGTAAGATTGAACTCCACAGTGGTAGTGTCGAGTCCCCCATTCACCACAGGCATGGTAAAAAATGGGAGGGACGAACTATTCTGGAGGTAGGGTTTCTTCTACAATACAGAAATATGAATTCGTCAACGTATTAAGAATTGAAACACTGACAGGAATATGCTCATTCATGAAGACAGTATTCTCTCCTGACTGAATGTTAGTTGGCTTCAAGATAGATTCAAAGTCATATACGATGAAATGGTCGTTATAAGGAGTAGCGTCGTGAACTTTATATTTCTGCATCATTTGAAATGCAAAGTTTTTGCCAGGCTGGTAGATCGTTGGTTGCTTAGCAAATGACATAATATTTGTTTTATCACATTGATTCTTTTGATGGTCGTTCAGCTTCGTAGAGGTCGCAAAAATCATTTCACATTTTGAGCATAAATATTTACTCATGAACTTATCCATATTATTGATGTACAACGCGCGGTTGCTGTGTGATAGGATGTTTAGAACGTTGTACGCCTTCTCTGATTCGCGCTCGCATTTAACTTCACCGCTGGATACATCCTTGCTGTATACATTGATAGCAAGCTTGAAACACTCCTCAAGCTCGTCAAAGTGGAAGATATCAATCGGTTTAAAACTACGAAACAGGCTGAGACTGTATTCAATGTTTTTAAACTCGCAATACTTCTTGAAAGCAGCTTTCACATGCACTTGAATCGTTCTAGGATTTTGTTTTGCAATTCCTAGTCCGTGGTAAGCAATACAGTGGAAGACACATTTATTATTCGTCTTGGGGAAATTGATAATATGTATACTATCGCGGAACTCCTTCGGAATAACAGCGGCGCTATCACCTAGCGTATAGTTACGCTTATAATTGTATACTCTGAATCCTGTGATAGCCTTTAATTTGTAGCCAGATTTTGGGTATTTTAACCTATCAGCACGCTCCATCGTTCTGATTTCAGGAATGACTTTCTTGCGAATGTCAGATTTACTGTTAACCGTGATAGGCTTGTCGAAGACGTTGGTGCTCGATAGACTAGGATGCCAGTATAGTTTCTGACCGTCACTGAGACTCTCCAACTCGTATCCAAGAGCGATATTGATCTTGAACGCCTTCAACTGAGAGCTGAGAATAGTCTCTAGCTTATCATACAATTCTGATGGAGAAATATTCTCATATAGATGCGATTCCTTAAGTTTACCTTGATAAAACCGGTAGTAAGGGTCCCCCTTGTAGTTAGGTGACAGATGAGTGTTTAGTTTCTTCATAGATAGTTTGTACTGCTTAGCAATCAATTCTCTATTTTTCGGGTTACCAACATTGCTGATGTAAACCATTTTCTTGGTGCGTCCAAGCACCTTAACACGGAAACTACTACCCCACTTGGTACATGTAACCCCAAGTCGCTTAAGTCCTTCTAATTCATATCCAAACATCGTCGTTGTATATCCGCTCTACTATATTTTATAAGATTTTATCTCTCAGGATGGGTCTTTTATATTTATAAAAAATAAAAAATATTAATATATAATTTTACACTTCTTTGTCATTTTCACTCTCTACTTCGTTCGAAACCTCAATTCTCGTGGGAAGTTTCGATTTTAGTTTCTTGTTTTGGTTTCTGATTTTTCTGCGTTGCGCTAGCTCCTCCTTGTGCAACTCATTATACTCCTTTTGATTAGTTAGACGCTGCTCTCTATTCTTTAGATAGTAACGCTTCTGAGCTGCTTTAAAAGCCTCCTTGTTAAGCTCATAATTTTCGCGAACGTAAACCATAATTAATTATTTTGTATTATATGATATTGTGTTATATACTAATGGAAATTAATTATCAGAAATGAAGATAATTAAATGCATTTTCGATTTTGAGCCAAAAAATTATAAATTATTCATATTGCCACATGTATGGAACGCACTTATTAAATAATTCCTTCCAATCTGCATTATTATCTAGTCGCCTTGAGAAGTCCACTAACAGCTCGATCAGTTCATGAAACGATCCATCCCTATCTGCTATCCTAAGAACTCTTAATGCTCTCACAGTACGTTGCATAGCTATAGTTCTCTTATGATGCCCGCAACCATAATTCGTCCTTAAACAGCTTTTACATCCATGCCAAAACACAGTCATCGTATGATATGTTATATATTTTATCATTTCGTCGCTTGAGATGGACTCACTTTTATATAATTGAAAATTTTAAGGTAAAATCCGCATTTAATATTTTACCTAATTCATTGCAAATTGCCTGCTACAGCTACTCCAGCTTGATGTCAGCAACACCGTTGACCGTCTGGAGTTGATCGCGTAGCTCTTGGTAGTGGCGCTGGGTGTTCAGGTACTGACGCTCGAGCTCTATCAGCTTGCTTGATATATCCACATTCTCCTTGGGCGCACGATCCATGTCACCGAACGCCTTCTCCCGCTTGACGAGCCATTCTCGCTTTAGACTCGTCAGCTGGGCTTCTTCCTTGGCCGCCTTGAGTTTTGCAGTCATCTTCCTCACCTTTTCTTCAGTTTTAGCACTCGCCTCCGCTATCTTCTCAGCCTCCTCTGCTTGAACCCCTTTATAGTCGCTCGCAAACTTCTTCGCTTTCTCTTCTGCGATGCGGGCGACGGGATGCGTGTCATCGATCATCTTCTTGAGCTCTGCTCCGCGAGTGTTGAGAGCATCCATCTCCTGCTGTAGGTTGGACGGGTTCATCTTGACTGCTGATTGACTTGGTAGAATGCAGAATGAGCACTCCCTACTCTTCTAGCATGAACACGAGATCTTAAGATCGCATTGGTTACGAAACCATTTATCTATAAAAGGTCGCTGCTATAAGGAAACTCCTAACTATCGGTTTTAGATCTTTCATGTCTTGGTAAAAATTTGAGAAAAACTGACTTCGTTTTATGAAGGTAGGTACCTTGGCGAAAAAACTGCCTTCGTTTCATGAAGGTAGGTACCTTGACAAATATTTGGATTTTGATTTGTGAAGGTGGGTACCTTGGAACTTTACCACGTTTTAGCGTTGCTTGTAGGAGATCTAAACCGGGTCTGAACAACTTTATATCACTTGAAATTCTAATGATGTAGAGCTTCAACAAGAAATCTCGCTAATGTCATATTTCGTGAAAAACTAACCTCATTTTATGATGTTATATACTACTTGAGCCACAGCAAGATGAGGTGTACTCTGGGATACATTCGCCAGAGACACTTTCCACCAGACTTTAGGCACTCATCGTAAGGGAAAGTCCGCGGCTGGAATGAGTGTTCTCTGAAATCCTGGGCGTGCACTCCCAGGATTCACACTTCCAGCCAGTTGGGCCCATCTGTGGTCAGGCGCTGGATTCACCCCGAGAAATCACTTCTCTCCCACAGTCGCCATCCATGTCACACGGGTACAGCCGCGCCGTATCCAAGTCATCCACCAATCAGCATCCAATACAAACTCCAAGTCCAAAGGGTGGCGGCACATCGTCGGCGATTTTCTGGGGACCGCCTCGTGTCAACCGCCCCTCCTGGTCCAGGTACATCAAAGAGGCAATAACTCCGAACCGGTGAATCATGGCCAGGCCACACAAACACAGAGGGCGATCCACCGTCGACTTCGATACGGCCGTCGCACTCTGTCGACTCCCAGGATTTCACTCACTTTGGCGACACCCTGTCTACCCAACGGTTGGTCAGGACCTATCTTCAAGGTTCTCTTCTCAAACGCAAAAACTCCAACGGGCAATGCGCGGTCACATCGCCATTTCACAGATCATCAACATGGCGGAGAGCGTGCCTTCGGACGGCAAGCAAGCGACGGTGCCAGCTCAAGGCACGGCGCCCCCCTGCAGCGCGCCACCTCCGACGCAGCAACGCACCGGCGACGCTCCTGCGAACACCGCTCCAGCGGGCGGCGGCGGCGACCAGGCGGGCAACTCAGCGTCCAGCAACACTTCGGCGGGCGTCACCAGGACGGGGGAAACTAAGCGCGTCTCCTTCTCCGGCGACGCGGGCAAAACCTCTGACGCGAATATGCGCGAGGCCGATGGCACTGCCTCGGCTGACGCTGCAGCCCAGGAAACTGGTGACGCGAACTCAGAGTCTAAAGCTCCAGACGCAGGCGACACGGCTGCGGACGTGAACCTGGAGGATGCCCCTGAGTTCAAGTTACCACGACACGCGACGCTGGAGGACGTCAGGGGGCTCGTCTTCGCGGGTATGCTTCGGCAGCAGGAGGTGGATGTCCCCGACTTCGTACTCCCTGTGCACCCACCGCATTGGACACTGCCAACCCCGCCGGATCTCAAGACCAACGCATATCTCGTGGGAGTCCCAGGGATCGTGAACGATATTCGCGCGGGTGCATTCGCCATGGAAGGCTACGGCGGCGCGTCTACGCTGATCGGCTTCGAGGAGCTCTCCGACGAGAATCTTCAGGGGTTGAAGGAAGTCTGCGGTGCCAACGCTGGGATCGACGTCCTGTGTCCACGTCGTTCGCCTCTTTCCGCATTCGAGTTGGACAACACCCTGAATTCCATCGGCATTCGACGCGAGATGGCCTCACTCCTGCGTCACTTCAACAGCACAAGGCTCGCTGAGCGCGTGTTCAAGATGACTGGTTACCTGCGTCGAGTCCTCGGGGCCTACCGAAACATGCGTTCTCTGGCTGACTCTCAGCAGGGTTTCACCGCCACTCAGGAAGTAGTCGACACGCGACGCAAGTATAAGGAACTGAAGCGCACCTGGAAATTCACGTGCGACTACTGGTTCTTGGAGGTCCAAGAGGCCCTGGGCAAGGTGGATGATGCTGAATCCAAGTACAAAGTCGCGCTGGGCGAGCAAAAGACGCGGTACCAAGACGATATTGATTCTCTGGAGTCCGAGAAGGCACAACTCAAGGCGCGCCTTGCCGACTCTGAGGCACAAGTGCGAATCCTGAAATCGCGTCTTGAGTTAGCCACCGTGGACCCCTGGAAGTTCCCTGACTTCCTCCAGGAGCACACAGACTTCACGGGCAATTGGGAGCGTCTCCACGACCTCTTCAATCTCTGCATCAAGGACTCGAAGCCTCCTGAATCCTGGGACACTGTCATCAACGTCACGGCCATGGACAAGCGCAAGGCTGCGGCGGCCCCGTATCCAGAGAAGAGCACGCGTATGCCTCCGTCTTCAGGGTCTGGGTCGTCCGTCGTCCTGAAATTCTGGATCTCACGGGTCCTGGCAGCAAGTCTCGCAGCGGCGCGAAGGCCGGAGGCAAAACTTAGGATTCCAGAAAATCTCAGGGTTCCAAGAACGGTCAAGGCTCCAGAAAATCACGGGACTCTGAGGTGCCAAAAACGCAGTCGAACTCCGCAAGCCCCCAGGTTCACAAGGTCCAGCGTCGTCCCAAGGATCATCAGCCTGGCCGCGACTCTGTGCGTCGCGCCGGCGAGAAGACTGTGGTGTCCAAGGAGGCCGCACACACGATGCTCCCTGGGGGTGTCGTCTGGAAGGAAGTTCGGCCAGACGTGCGTCAGGCTATTCTTGCTGGGCTCAAGTACGACACAGCCATGGAGTGGATCGGCAGCGACCGGGCGGCCCACAGGCATTTCCGACAGCCGCAGCTGATCAAGATGCTCGTGAGGATGATGTACTGGCGTCGTCTCGATCGGACTCCCTGGCGCAAATACGCCCCTGAGGCTTACTACGAAACGGCGGACGAGCGTCTGGACAGGTGCGGTGATGTGCCACCACCCTGGGGGAACCTCGATGACCCACATGGTGTACCCTGATGAGGACGCCGATTCCACGGTGGACGACATCGAGAACGACCCGGACTATCAGCCTCCCGCCCAGGAACCTGAGGAGAGCGCCTCTAGTAGTAGCTCTGAAGAGGAGGAGGAGGTTCCCCTGAAACTCTGGAGGACGTCGAGGCCGCAGAGGGCGACGACGACGCAGAGGACGACGACAACGCAGAGGACGACAATGGGGTAGAAGAACCCCTGGAAGTCAAGCCTCCTGCTAAGCGCCCCCGTTCTGAGTCAAGCAAGGAACCTCAGGGTTCCAACTCGAAGTCGAAGAAGAAGCGTCGCACGGGAAACAAGAAAGACACGTCTGCCACTCAGGGTTCTAGTGGTACTCAGGGGTCCAAGGCTACATCACGCTCCAAGCATCCGTCGGCACTCGCGCGGAAATCATACTCGGAGCTCACTTCAAGTGAGTTGATGACGGCCGAAGACCCTGAGGACAACGAGACTTCCTGGCGCATCTATGGGGTTCTTGTGCAATACCCAAGCTCGACCAAGAGTGCGTCTTGCCAGACTCCTGGGTTCCCAGAGTACGAGATCCACAAGTATTCGTACGACGTTGTTCACGAGCGCTGGGATCGTGAGGCATACCAAGAAGTCCTGGATTCTGAACCCTGGGAGACTATGCTTCAGGGTCGCTTCCGAGTGTTCTATTTCCATGAGCGAGAGCTGCTCTCCGCGAAAGCGCTCAAGCTGTTGGAGGTCGTCGTGGACGCCATGCACAAGCACGCACAGGCAATCTGGGAGCGCGGGCACTGGGTGCCTATTCCGACTGAAGAACAAGCAGACGCCACCATGGACTCTCAGCGTAAGTCGCGTCGAAACGCGCTACGCAGAGCGTACAAGGCGCTCGTTCAGCGCTCGCACAACACCCCAGGGTTCATCCCGTCGTTGTGGCACGAACCGAGTCTCTGGAAGTTCCCGGACAAGTGCTGCTACTGGATTTGGGGGGATCCCAGGGCCAAGAAACTCGGGGGAGCTAAGTGCAAGGACTTGGACGTCCAGCTAGCGACGTTGGACATTCGTGAGCCCTCTCGAGTCCAATGGAACACGGCGGCTGACGACGATGAGTGGCTCCAATACGTGCCTAACAACATCAAGCGCCACATCAAGCCCCTGGCCATCCGCAAGCTCAACCCACTGTCTCTCAAGCACTCGTGAGAATCCAGGTCCTCACCAGATCCTGGGAACCATCGGGATTTCACATGTCGTAGCATAATTTCCAATAACATATCCAGGATTTCATCTCGATTTCAGAGTCTTCCCCAGAGATTCACCGTCTGTTGACATCGTTCCCCTGGGTCACCCAACTTCGTCTACTGCCTCCAGGTCCTCGTAAAGCTCGCCGCCTTGATCTTCTGTCTCACCACTTCACACAATGCCGAAGCCTCAGCAATATCACCTTCTCCATAATCAAATCAATTCAAATCACATTCACGTTCTCCATCCCCAATATTCACACATTCCGTCGATTTTCCCCAGAGTTTCACAGTGTCACCCAGGGTTTCCCCTGAGAATCACATGTAACTCTGGGTCATTGCCACCCCAGACTGCTAGACTCCTGGGTGATCATCTCCAGCCTGCATGGCCTGGAAACGGGCTCGCGCTCTTGCGCCTTGATTGAACTCGTAGAGCAGGGCGCCACAGTTGAGCTTCGACACAGGCAGCCACTCGGCCTCATCGTACCCCTTCCACTTTACAAGGTACTCGCGAATACGTCTCGCTGTCCGGGTCCGCTTAGTCCAGCGCAAATCCAGGATTCGCTCAACTTCGTACTCGTCGTTCGCAGTGTCGGGCTCCCAATTGTCTTCAGGCAGCAGCGCCGCAACAAAGTCATCATCCTCGTCCACGTCGATCTCCACAGTGGGTCGCTTCGGGAATAGTGCTCTGGGTTTCAAACAGCTCACGTGTACCCAGGGGTTCACGCGATACCCTGTGTTCTCGACCCTGAGTTTCACGCGGAAGTTGTCATGGATTTCCTGGATTCTGAAGGGACCATGCCACATGTGAGCCAGTTTGCGGCTCAGCCCGGGCTGCACCTTCGGTATATACAGCCACACAGCCACCCAGCATCACCGACTGCGAATCCTGCCTTCAGTCGTTCGGACAGCTCTCACCACTTCCTGGTTTGTTCGGCAGAGCGCGCCCGCTTGGCCTTCTTCTGGAGATTCTCAGCGCAAGCTTGTGCATAACTGTAGTCACGCTGTAGCTTCCTGGGCCACTCGTACGCGGTGCGCTCCTGGATACTTGAAGGCCTGGGTCCCAGCATTGCAGACACAGTACCGTGTGCGTCCTAGCCGTGCGCCAGAAAAAAAACGGAGTTTCCAGGCGAGTGGCATCGAACGATGTATTCAGGGCAAATATCAAGCGCTCAGCATGGTCGTCCCAGTCACTCTGGTCCGCTTCTGCAATGTACGCTCGAATGCTGCGCACGACGGTCCGCACCGACCGCTCTTGCTATCCGTTCGCCTGGGGGCGGTACGCCAGAGTGGCCCGCTGCTTTCTACCCAGAAGTTCACGGAAGCGCGTGAACACCTCACTCATGAACCTTGGGTCTTGGTCGTGCCTCAGCATCGAGCTCGCGCCGAATCTCCTGAAGGCCTGCTCTTCGTACATTTCAGCGACGTCTTGGGCTGTGGTGGAACTCATGGGTTTGCACATGACGAATCCTGAGAACGCATCCTGAAAAAGCAACAGGCTTGAGCGTGCGACAGCTTCGTCGTGTCGCCCTTCAGGAAATCATTGAGTCGCAGCAGGTGATCAGCTTTGTCCTGGTGCACTTTGATGCGTCGCCAGCGTTCAGCCTGGTATTCCAAAGGTCCCATGGGTTCGCTTTGGGCTTCGATCTCCTGAGTCTGTGCCCGAGTCATCACTGCGAACACTTTAGCCGCCGCAGGCAACGGAGCGCACTCAGGTCCAGGGATACCCAGAGTTTCGACACCCTGAGAATCACTCCCTTGAATTCCAACGTTCAATAACACCTTCGGTTTTACCAACTTCTCGTGAATCTTGGACACCAACTGCAGATGTGTTCGTTCTTCAGCATCCTCCACCTTCCAGAATTCACCAAGCGCGAGGGGCTTAGACGTCAGGTAGTCTGCAGCCTGGTTGAATTCTCGCTTGACATGCACCAGCCGCACAGACTTGAACTGCGTCTTCAGCACTTCATACTCGGCCAGCTTCCTCTGGAGATTTGGCTGATTGCAGTTGATGAGACCCTGGGCTTGCTGGATGGCAATCCTGGAGTCCCCAACCCCAACGATATCCTGAATTCCACGCTCGATCGCCTGAGTGAGGCCCTTCAGAAGTCCATGATACTCAGCGTCATTCACAGTCACGTTCTCCAGGATGAATCCCTGGGCATCCAGGATTTCCCAACCGGGGACATGCCACAGAATGTAGCCGCAGCTCCCTTGTCGCGTGGAGGTCTTAGCGGCGCCATCGAAACTCAGAATACACCCCTCATAATCCGCTTCCAGCATTTCCATACTGATAGGCACTGGAGGTTTGACGCGCCCCTTGGCTGGGATCAAGTTTTCAGCGATATCATCCAAGTGTTCTCTGGGGGTAATACCCGCACCCAGAATTGCAGCCAAGCCGTCTTTATCCCGTTGAACTATGCGTATCTCCAGGTTCCAGTGGGACAACTTCAGACCCCACTTCACCGTTCGACCGTCTGCCGACTGCAAAGTCAGCAACCACTTCAACACAGAGTATCGCGTGTAGACAACGATCTTAGGGCTGCCTTCAACCAGAGTGCGAAACACCTCCAGGACTCTCAGGATAGCGATCACCTCCTTCTCCGCAATGTGATACCGCAGCTCAGCGTCATTCAGGACGCGTCCGGTGAATCGAACCGGATGCACAATCCCGTCGTACTCCTGGCCCAACACAGCGGATGCTGCCCACGGGTTTGCGTGGGGAATAATCACGTAGGGCATTGAACGATCAGGATGTCTGAGTAACGGAGTCGAAACAATCTTGCGCTTCAGGATTTCAAAGGCTTCCTGGGCTCTCGACAGGTCTCTCCTGAATTTCACCTGTTCCTCAGTCAGCTCGTACAGGACGGCCGCGATCATGGGTAGATCTTCAATGAACTTGTTGTAGTAATTCAGACTCCCCATGAAACTCTGGACGTCTTTCAGTGTCGTCGGGAACGGCAAGTCTTGGACCCCCTTCGCGACTTTAGGGGTCGCCCGGATACCCTCAGCAATAATCTTATGGGAGAGGTACGGAATGGACAACTTCCCGAATTCACTCTTGGGAAGACTCACAGAGATATTCCAGTAACGTAGTCGGAAGAGCAGCGCGTTCAGATCCTGGCACATCCGCTCCCAAGTAGGCGCACCATGGGCGATGTCGTCAATATACGAGCTTCGACCCAGGACAGGGCCCATCAGAGAGGGAGCCGGGATGTTACGCTGAAAAACAGTCATCTCGTCCTTCAACACTGAAAGTCGCGGTGCATTTTCACCTGAAACTCTGGGCTCCGTTTTATGTAAGGACCAGGGCGGCTCATATGAGCCACTCAAATGCAAGTCAACGCCTGATTGGCTGTAATGGGGTCTGGCTCCCCCAATTCAGCCAATCACGATGACCGTCAGTACACGCTAGCCGTGTACTGACTTAACTACTTTATGTACTGTCAATCTACCTACTTATGTAAATGGGGCCCATTACATCACCCCCCCTCTCAAAGTTGCGCTTACGCAACGTAAGCGCAAAAGACACATTTCCGAAAGAACACTCGAAGAACACCATGGACGACCGAGGCGGCGGAGGGACGGCGCTCGTGCCACCGAGCGACACAGGACGACGCAAGAGCAGCAAGCTTACACACACCGAGACATCTCGTCGGCGCACACGCCGAAGCAATGCGCAGCGCCCCAAGTGGCCGCGGACATCCACGGACACCCGAAGGGACGGCGGTCGTGGCAACGACGCAGCATGGGAAGCGACACCAACGCTTGACGACAAGCGCAACTGTGATGCGCACAGAGCGGAGAACCGGCGAGTGTCGAGACACAGGATGGCGATCAGCGTGGCGTGGCTCCTCGCTACGACCCTTCGAAGTAACTCCCGACGAAGAGTCGCGTAACCGTCGACTCGAACGGACGGAACAGCGAGACCAGCTTGGACATCTTCGACACCGGCGATCATCGGTGGAGCGGTGTAGTGGGCAAGCGCTCGCCGTGCTGAGCTGTGACGCGTGGGTTCGATCCCCACGCGAATCCTTCTTGCCACTTGCCATGCGCAGTCGCTCCAAGCTTGATCAGGTCGGGCGGTCCGTCGTGGGGACTCGAAGTCCAGCTAGCGCAGTGGTCGAACGCTGCGCCACCAAGGCGGAGGTCACCGGTTCGAGTCCGGCGGTCGTCGTCAGGTTTTCTTCTTAGTCTTCGCGGTGAACGCCACCGCGAGCTTGCGGTGGGGGTCCACTTCCATCATCACGCTCACTTGAGGCTTCAGCTTCCGCGGGGGGCTCCGTGGTCTCTTCAGCAGCAGCGACCTTCGCCTCATAGTCACGAACAACATCGGGGACATCCCGAAGAAGAGCTGCACGCGTCTCCCACGTGTCCTCGTCAGGTGGAAACCCAGAGATGGGTCCTCGTGGCAAACGATGCGGTCCACAATCCAGCGCGCTTCACCCGCCGAGTCGACAATCGGAGAAGGACCATCGCGACGGTACAGGCTTGGGTGATGGGTGTTGGCGTCGCGAGTAGCCTCGGGTACATTACCCGCCAGTGAATCCTGGTGATCAGAGGTCGGAATATCGGCAGTATAATATCGCTTGAGGCGCCCGACGTAGAAAGTCGGGTGAAGACGCAGCGACGACGGGATGTCCAGTGTGTACGCGGCGCCGAGGACCTTGATCACCTTGAACGGGCCGATGAAGCGCGGCGCGAGCTTCTTGGCACCGAGGTTGGTCACTGCGGAGGAGCGGATGCCTTCGGTGGACAGTAACACACGGTCACCCGTGCGAAATGAAGTCTTGTTCTTGCGCCCACGCTTTTCTGTGTTTTCCTTCTGCTTGTCTACTGCAGCTTGCAGTGCGTCCCGCACGAAACGTTTGATTGCCTGACGCTGCTGCACAAACTCGGAGACCGCGGAGTGGTCTGCGGGGCCCGCTGAGGACTTCGGTGCGTAGTTAGCGGGAATAGCCG